TGGAGGAGGGGGTAGTCAGAAACAAAACATTTTTGAGTATACGGTGAAAGGAGAGAGAGAATACAATAATTGAGGGGGAATAGGATGGAGGGAAATACAGTTAGCAATAATAACTGTGAAAAAATTTTGCAGCAAGTTTCTCTGATAAAAGCCTCATTTCTCAAACATATAGAGAACTGAGTCAAATTCATAAAAATAACAGCCATTCATCAACTCATAAATGATCAAAAGATATGATCAGTTTTCAGATGAAATAATCAAAGCTATCTATAGCCACAAGAAAAAATACTCTCACTATTGATTGGAGAAATGCAAATTTAAAAAATTCTGAGATACTACCTCATACCTATTAAATTGGCTAATAGGACAGAAAAGATAAACAACAAAGATTGGAGGGGATGTGGGAAAAATGAGACATTAATGCACCCTTGGTGTCGTGAACTGATTCAACCATTCTGTAGAGCAATTTGGAACTATGCCCAAAGGACTATAAAACTATGCATACCCTTTGACCTAGCAATACCACTACTAGGTCTGTATCCCAAGAGATTAAAAGAAAAAAACAATAAAAAGGAAAAGGACCCAGATGTACTAAGATATTTATAGCAGCTCTTTTCTGGCAGCAAAGAATTAGAAATTGAGGGGATCCCCCATCAATTGGAGAAAGTCTGAACAAGTTGTGGTATGTGATTATGATGGAATACTATTGTACTATAAGAAATGATGAGCAGGATGCTCTCAGAAAAACCTGAAAAGAAGACTTGCAGAGGCTGATGCAAAGTGAAATGTACTGTGTACAAAGTAACAGCAATACTGTAAGAAGATCAGCTGTGAATGACTTTGCAATACAACAATCCAAGATAACTCTGAAGCACTTACGATGAAAAATGCTATCCATCTCCAGAGAAATAACTGATGGTGTCTGAATACAGACTGAAGTATATTTTTTTACTTTATTTTTCTTGAGGTTTTTTTTTTGGTCTGTTTTCTTTCACAGCATGACTATTATGGATATGTTTTACATGACTACACATGTATAACCTATATTGAATTGTTTGCCTTCTCAATGGGGGGGAAATGTGAGGAGAGAAGAAGGGAGAGAATTTGGAACTCAAAATTTTAAAAACAAAGGTTAAAAATTGTTTTTACATGTACCTCGGCAAAAATAAAATACTAAAGAAAATTTTAGAATAGTATTTTTTAAAAAAAGAAGTTTCTGCTAATTCCACCAGTGTAGATTCCAACAGCTGGATGGAGTTCCATAAAAAGAACAGCAGCTCCACAGTGGGAGCTTCTGGCCTGAAGAAGAAAACTCAGCTCCTCACCTGGGCTATGGAATTTCTAACAGCTTTCCCTATACTTTCATCCAGCTGTAGCCTTTCCACCATTTCAACTAGAAGAGAGAGACAAGACATTATCTCTTGCCTCTGTTCTGAAACCCTTGTTTTAGTATATTTGAGCATTACAATTGATTGAGAGAACAAAGGAGAAAAATGAGAGAGAAAATCTGGAAATTTAGCTCACAATGATTAGTATTACAAATCTCATATTTAGTATATAGAGATGGGAGCCTGTTTTTATGGCTTTGGCATGGGTTTTGTAAGACATTTTTATCTGTATGTTCTTAGAGCCAACGGTAACAAATGGGAAAAAAGGAAAAAAGAATTCAATATGACAATTCATGATGCTGCTGAGGTTGTCTCCAAATTTTAAAGCTTGCTCTATTGGTGCAGTAAATAGGTCAACATTTGCTCCGGGCTTTTGTTTAGTACTTCATATACTAGGATATCTAATGTCTATTAAATTGAATAACAGGGAAATACACAGTACTAGAAAACATTTCCATTACACCTTCTTAAAGGGAACTGGGGTTTAAGACTTGGGGACTGGAGAAAGCCAAGCTTCTTTGGTACCCAAAGATCTCTATGATCAAGGTATGAATTCATACACTACCTCTATGTCCGCCTGAGTCTTCTCAAGGCTAAACATGCCCAGTTCCTTCAAACAATCTTCATATAACATAGACTCAAAAGATTTCATTATGCTGGTTGACTTTGTCTGGATACTGTCCAGCCTATCAATGTCTTTAAACTGTGGTGCTCATAAGTGAACTTGATAATTCGGATGAGAACAGATTACTGCAGGCTTATGACTTCTTTATTCTTAGAGGTTATGCCCAAGAACACTTTAGTTTTTTTGGCTGCCACACTCCTGACTCACAGTCCACTAAAACCCTCAGATCTTTTTCAGAATAACAGCTGTCTAACCAAGTCTTCCCCATCTTGTACTTATAAAAGTATTTATATTACATGCTTTTTGCCATCAGCAGACTAGATGAGCCTACAATTTATATCTTCGTCAAAGTCATTCATAAACCTGTAGAACAGGGCCAAGCACAGTTTCAATCGTCTTCAGACATTGGCAAATGCTCTATAATCCTATTAGGCTGATTGAGGAGCTTCTTCAATTTGATACAGGACTAGTAATGGTTCATACCCTGTTTTCAGGTAGTTAAGAAAGCGTTCCAGTTTGATTAGGGTTTCCTTATCTCTGTCTACACACCCTAATTCTGAAGGGGAACTTCTTGCTAGATCCACTCTGTTCATCTTGCCTCTCTCTTGGCGGCTGAGGACTCTCAGCATGGTCAAATATAAATTGAAGACCACGGGTGAAGTATCTGAGATACAATGAGCTTTCTGATTTTTTAAGCCTAGACTGGTATTCAGCATACTCCAAACATTAATCTATCAAAGTTAGGTAAAGCCAGACTCAGAGGTAAAGTTGAATTTTAACTAGGGTCCACAAACTTTTTTCCCCCATTATTTTTAATAGCTATTTTAACAATATGTGTTTCCTTTATAACACTATGTATTTTATTTTATATATTTATTCTGAGGAATCCATAGGCTTCACCAGACTAAGATTCTGGGGACTCTCCTTCCCCAGAATGCTTATTTCTACTGGGGTGGAACCAATGACCATATTTTACAAAATTGTAACTTCGAAGAGTGCAAATTCCAATAAGAATTTGAATACGTATGTCCCAGGAAGGAGAGAAATAGTTAGAGGAGACAGCCAGTGAAAACGCCCAGTCCCTTGTAGTGAGGAACAATAGTGGCTGGAATAGTAAGTGGGAGGTAGGGTGGAAAGCAAGATTTAAAGTGACTGGTAAAGTAGAACGCCTAGTTATGAAGGGCTTTGAACGCCAATTAGAAGACAAAAGAAAGGAAAGTCCACGACACACAAAAAGGTCAAAAACTCCTAAGTTAAAGGAACTGGGATAAAATCCTGCTCTGCAGTTTACTCTTCCTGTGGCCTCAGGCAAGTCATTTGTTATGTTTGCACCTTAGTTTCCTCCTCTGTAAATCGAGAACTAGATGACCTTCCAACTTCTTCTATGATCCTTTTCCATGCCTTAGCTTTCATCTTGGGAACCTTCTCAGGCAGTTTGAAGGTCCTCTCTTTTGTGTGTATGAAGCTGAACTCTAAGGGTATCTGAGTTTCTGGGAGCAGGAGACAAAAAATCCGGTGGAGTTCCCATTGCCTTCATTCCCATTCGAAAGCACCTTCAAAGTGACCAGTTTTTCCAGTCCTCCCTTCCTCTTGGAAAACGCTGAATCCAGTTCTCAGCTGACCAGAAGCTTTTCCCATGGGTGTTAAGACCCAGATTGGGGAAGGCGGTGAAAGGCAGACTGGAAGTGGTTGTCAGTCAATAAATATTTGTTACGCGCCTACGTGCCAGGCACTGTGGTCAACATGAAACGGGGTAAAAGGCGGTCCCTGCTCTCAAGGAGCGCACAGTCTAATGCCAGGAGGGGGGAGAACAACATGCAAACCAATTATGTACAAACGAGGAATAGGCTGGATAAACTGCACCTAATCGCAGAAGGCAGGCATTATATTGCGTCACCTGACGGGCTTCGTTCCTCCGTCTGGTCCAGACTCCGCGCCCCCGGCGGGCGCCCCGATCCCCGGGCTCGGGAGGGTTCACCTGCAAGGAGCAGCAGCAGCACAAAGGACGCAGAGCTCACCCTCCGCCCGGCTCCGAGCCCGGAGAAAGTAGTCCCGACCACGCCAGCGCCAAGGTTGTTCCGAGGGTCGCTTCACAGCCTCTTCCCAAGAGCGCCGAACCCGAGAGGGAGCAAGAAAAAGAATCCCATCGGAATGCGACAATGGCTTGCCTTTTTTCCCCCTCCCCACCCCCACCTCTCTGGCAGCAGAATTAGAAAAACAACAGCAACAACAAAACAACAAAAAAATTCTTCTCTTTCTTTTTCCACAAGGTGGGCTTTCTGCCTGGGTAGAGACCCAAAGAAATCTCTAGTGGTCCCAAACCTCGCCAGCTGATCCCTCCCGCCCCCTCGTTTGCATAGCTGAATAGAAATCGATGTCAGCCGAGGGGAGGCTCCCTGGGAGCTTGGGGAGAGGGGGAGGAGAGAAGAAGGGGAGGGGCAGAAGAGAAGGGGGCTGACTGGGAGCGCTGGGAGAAAAGGAGGAGGGCAGGGGGAGGGGGAGAGGAGAGGAGGGGAGGAGGAGGCTGACTGGGAGCATTGAGAAAGAAGGAGGAGAGAAGGGGAGGGGGCAGGAGGAGGCTGACTGAGAGAGTTGGAGGAGAGGGAGGAGGGGGGGCGGGGGGGAGAAAGAGAAAGGCTGGGGGGGCGGAGGGGGAGGGACGGGAGCGCGAGGGAGCGCAGCAGAGAGCGCGGCCGGACCGGGCGCGGGGCTCGCTCTGCCTGTGTATCCTTGCGCCGCCGCCGCCGCCGCGCTGGGAGGAGGCGGAGGCTGGATGAGGAGCTGCGTGGAGCCCGCGGAGGAGCCGCTGCCGCCGCTGCAGGGGGAGCGGGCTGGAGAATGGAACGAGACGCTGGTCGCCGCCGCCGCCGCCGGGGCACCCCCGAGGGAAAAGTAGCGCTGTAGAGTGGACGGCGAAGGCGGCGCCCGGGGAGCCGAGTGGAAGAGAGAGAGGGAGAGGGAGAGGGAGAGGGGGAGGGAGGGAGGGCCGGCGACCGATTCTTTCTTCTCTTTCTGCCAAGCTCGGGCAGCATGACTGTGCGGGGCGGCCACGGCGGCCCCGGCTCCTCTCCGCCGCCTCCCCCTCCTCGGGCCGCCTTGAGCCGGTGAGGAGAGAGAGAAAGCGAGGAGGAAGAGGAGGGGAAGATGGGGGCCGTCCTGAGGAGCCTCTTGGCTTGCAGCTTCTGCGTCCTCCTGAGAGGTGAGCAGGCGGCGAAGGATGAGGAAAGATGGGGGGGGCACCGCGACGCCCGAGTTAATGAGATTTATCGTTTTTTGTTTGTGTGTCTCCTGTGTGTTGGGGGCTGGAGGAGGGGGAGGGGCAGAGGAGGCGAGAAAGGGGGAGAGGAGGCGAGAGGCCGGGCCTGGCTGCAGGAGAAGGAGGAGAGAGGGGGAGAAAGGGGCCCAGGAGAAGGGGCTGCTGCATTTGCTGCAGGAGTGACACAATGCAGGCTAACCCTTTGGGGGCATTCTCCACCTGGACTCCATAGGTCGGGGTCCATCTTTTGGGGGAATCCCTGAATTCCTTGTCACCCTCTCCCAGCCTCGATCTTTTATCGCAGTGTGTCCCTCTGTGTTTGTGAGCATGTGTGCCTGGGTGTTGAGGCAGGGAGGTTGAAGGGGACTAATCTCTATTCTGAAGGAGAGATTTCTTTGTGCTGGTTTTTACTTTTGGAAAGTTTGAATACAAGGTGCAAGGGCTTCTTCCCCCTCTCCCCACCTCACTCCTGTTTATTAGGTGACGTTCTAGAGTTCTCATAACTATTTTTTGCAACCTTTGTTACAATTGATGATTAACTCCTGTTTGGGATATAGCAGCCCTGGATGAGGACACACTTGGAAAGAAAGTAGTCTTGGTTTTCAGGCCCAGGAAGTTTTCTAATCTTTAGTTAGGAATCCATTGGATAGGTTTCCTATTTAGCCCTTGACTAGTTCAGAGCATGTCATGTTTTTGAAACGGGAACTCGAAGCTAACATTTCATAGGCTTATTTGTTGAGCACCCACTGTTGGATGTCAGGAACTGCTTAGGTTCTTTGCCCTTAAAATAACTAATATTCCATGATTCTTTGGTATTTTTAACAGTTCTATGAAGCTGACACATGCTTTGTGGTTTTTATCAGTCCCTAGACGTCTTTTGCAAGATATTAGCTATCCTTTTTTTAAAATTAGCAATGAAATAGTGATGATATTTCTGATGTCAGTTAGTTGATGAATTTAAGCGCTGATAATTTGGTTTATATCTTCAGTTTTTATTACTATTGTTGTTTGCCCACGACCCAGTTTTTTCAGGCTTGAGGCCCTAGGTCCAATGAAAATTTGCAGTAGTATGACAACATAAAATTTAAATACAAGTAAAATAAGTTTAAACTTATTGAATTTTCATGGGACATAATGATAGATAATGTGTTATGAATTTAACTGGGAATTTCTACTTGTAAAATTTATTTTGGGGGAATAGTGAAAATATTAACCTGGATAAACATCCTTTGTTTATCTTTGTACAGTGCTATTATTTAACTTAATAATTATGACTCAGACACATTTGCTTCTTCAAATATAAGTTGTAGGAGGGCAGAGACCAATTTACTGGATGAGCATAGAACTTGGTGATGTATTGAGTATGAAGTGTTTACTTAGATTGATATTACCTTTTTTTGTTTATTGAAACAGAAGAATTTTGTTGCGCTGGGGAAAAGTAATTATCTTCTTTGACTTAAGTCTCTGTTCTGTTTTAACAGAGGTTTATAGTTAATTCGAAGTCCCATTTGTGATTTCATTGGGTTTAGGGAACTTCTGGTTTGGAAACTCTGTCCACTTATGCTGATCGGAGCCTCTGTAATTTAAAATTAGTGCCCTAGTGCAGTGACTTGCCCATTTTCACCAGCTGTTATGTGTCAGTACTTTTAGGAAGGCCTTCCTAACTTCATGGCCCTCTGTCCACCAGGCGCCATTATATCTTTTATGTGTTCGCTTTAGGCTTAGCTTCATCAGTGTAGCATAATATTGATTTTGTTTTTTTAATACCAAAATTGTATTTTGATACATCTGTATCTCTATATCTATATTTACTTATTTATCTATCCATTCTTATTTTAGTGTTTATGCTGTCTTGCTCCAAGACTAATATCTTGATCCTTTCTGTCATAGTCATTTATTCACAGACTTTAACCTTGGACTCCAAATTTAAAAAAATACATGTGTATATATATGATCAGTCTTTGTTTACCTGTTTGCATCTAAGGAACTATCATCCTGGTGACCCTGATTTCCAGTCAGGTTTTATTTCTAGCCCTATTTGGGGAGAGGGAACTAGTTAGAAAGTGGAGTGGATCTTTGCTGCTCCATGGCCATGTTATGTGACAGGGAATCTTTTGATATGACAGCATTTTTTAGTTATTTGTATTAAGGCTTTCTTTCTTGGGTGGGAAGAATTAGAAATGGAAGACATTATTTTTTCTTACATCTTCATTTTCCAAGTGAGGAAGCAGTCTGAGAGGTTAAGTGACCCTTAAAGACCAATAGCTAGTAACTGGGGTCTTAAATACTACATTATGCAACCTCCCAGAATATAGACTGTATAGTTGGAAAATTTCTTTTAGTTCTATATTGCTGTATGTTTGTCCTATTTCATGAAGATTAAACATAACCTGTATTCAGAAACATTTCTGATCAGAGTATTGAATGCTGTCTAATTTGGTTAATGTGTAGATGGCAGCTAACCAATACAAATTCTTTACTCATCCTGAATGACAGTATATGCTTAAACAAAAATGATTTATAGGTTGAAGGACAGTGATAAGATATGACCAAGTTGTTCATTTTAACAGAAGAAACTGTTAGTTTGGTTCATGAATTACAGAAGTGACTCTCTGGAACAGATTTGTTCCCTAAAATTAAGTATTAATTTGAATTGAGAATAAAATTACTGGCCAAGTTTTTCTTTCGAATTAGTGTCCAGATGAGAGGTTGTAAAACGTTAGGTTTTAGTGCTTTGTTTTGTTTTGAAGCGGGGAGGGAAAGAAAAATTTTTTATTCGTGCCTGTTACTTTTAAATCAGTGTTGAATGTAGTAGTTTTCTCTTCTTCCAGTTCTCTCTCCTTCCCCCCCTTCCCCCATTGAGTCTCCTCCTAACCAAGAAAAACAGTTAAGCAAAAACTAGGGAGTGGGTGGGGTGGGTATTGTTTCATTTGTTCTTTTGGGCCAAGCTTGCTTATTAAAATTATTCTAGTGTCTCGATAGCTTGAATATAACTGCAGACTTCTGTTGGCCAAGTTTTCAGAGTTGGGTTTTTTAATAGTTTAGACTAAAGAACTATGCTTACTGCTTAATTTTTTTTTCAATTAAGCATTTATTTTCTGTTTTCCATCCCCCTCCCATTAAAAAACAACAACAAAATAAAAACCCCATTGTTGAGACAAATAGGTATACTCAAGCAAGATTAATTCCTACTAATTTTCATTAGCGTTTTAAAAAAATTTTCTTCTAGGGGCCTGACTGTGGGGTCCATGGGTAAATGCAGTAAGAACATCAGTTATTTTCATTACATTAAGTTTACTTTGCTTTTACTATTGTATCAGTGTTGAACGTTAGCTTTAAAAAAAAGATTTTGGAATAAACCTGAAGGCAAGACCGAGAGAGTGAAGTGAGACTTTTAATTTGGAAACTAACTTAAAACTGGTCAGAAAATAAGTAAATGTGTGCATGAACACAGATTATATAAGTAGATATTTGAGTTTGAACAGTGATTTTATTTTATTAAATTTTTTTCAGGGAGTTGTATTATTTACATACAACAAACTTGTATATGTAGAAAAGTGTTAAACTGATAGAATTATTCTTGCCTAGTGGTCACTCCTCTCTCTCTCTCTCTCTCTCTCTCTCTCTCTCTCTCACACACACACACACACACACACACACACACACACACACACACACACACACAGAGTTATGCTTGTGTTTCTGTCTGTGATTTCATTAGTATAGGGAACTTCCAATGAGGAAACTTTCTTTACTTTAGGTCTGTAATTATTCAGTAATTTATAGTCTTAGTGAGTTGGCTGGGACATTGAGAGATTAAGCTTGTATACATCAGAGGTGGGACTGGAGCCCTGACATCTTGGAACACTATCTGCTTGTCTTACCTTGGCTCTTATGTCTCCGTGTCTATATATGTGTATGTCACCATTTTTTATCCTATGATATTTAGTGTAGTCTAAATGATTTTGAAAAGCTGTCAAATCGGTGGAATGAATGAGAATAAGGTATTTTCGTCCTTAAAAAATCAATACACCTTTAGAATCAGCCACTTTATAGATTCTTTTTGAAGTACTTAAAAAGAGAAAGGCTTATTTTAATCTATCATTCTTTTTTTTACTCAGCTTATTTTTTTGGAGGGAGGACCCTCTGAAGTATCACCCTTCCCCCCCATACTCTTTCTTCCCCTGGTAGTTCAGTGTTTTCATACCAATAAAAGGCTTAAGGAATCAGGAATAAGAATGAGAAATAACAGCATCTTCATGTGTTATTTTTGGTGAAAAATAATGGTACTGGTTAATATGATTCTTCTGGCTCTAATGCAGTATACTCTTTTTTTTTATGAGCATATTACTTAAAAGGATCATGAGTGGTTATAGGATCATAGATCTATCAATCAATCAATGGCTGGAAGGGACGTGTCTTTTTATAGATGAGGAGATTGAGTCCCAGAGAGAGGAAATGATTTGCCCAAGGTCTCACAGCTAGTAAGTTAGTGAGGCTGGGATTTGAATTGTGATCACAAACTCAGTACTAGTTGAAATTAATTTTGGGAAGAGAATTGTATTGAGAGGAGAAGCTGACCGTCTAATGTTGAAGAAAGGTTATCCTGTAAATTATAAAAGAAATGTGAAGTCATATGTCATGTTAACAGGAAATATGCGGGTTGGTTTTTTTAATATTCTAGTAATGGTGCAGATGACTGATGATATGAATAAGTTATAAATTCATAAATATTGAACATTTTCTCAATATCACAAATTAAGTTTGAAAACTAGACTTATTTTTAGGCTCCATCACCTAATTGATATAGGTATTCTTTATTACTGAAGTACAGCTTGTAGTCTATTCATATATTCTCATCTTGTGCCATTTTATTAAATCCTCCACAGGGAATCCACCCAGTGTTCTAGGGAATTTATGCTAGGACCTTGACATTGGGTGGA